AAAAGTTACGACTCGTTTAGACCAATCGGTCAAATGTCCAAAAAGTGGTTACATATTTTTCAGCGTATGCCGGGATGAATCAAAAGAACTTTGGTTCAGATGTGAATAATAACATTATGGTGTTGATCTATCGGATGTGGAGTGCTGAATGTATTCCAGAAAGCTCCTCCACCGATAGTTTTAAGTTGTATTTTTTTGGACGGAGAGCAGAACCTAGAAAAGATGAACGGAGGAACCCTCCAGGGAGAGGAGTAAACTGAAATCAGAAGGGAAAGGATAGGCAGGGGCTAGCACATTAATAATTTTCAAAACAGAAAGTGTGCAATCTTGAGAAAAGTTAAGAGAGTCGTTTCAAAATAAATAAATAAAAGCGGGGACGTACAAATTGCACGAGTAGAGTAGTCCCTCGGTTAACGTTATTAATCCGTTCCACGAAAATTACTGTTAACTGAAATAACTGTTAATCGAATAGAGGAATTACATGTTATAAAAAAAATTACTGAGTCTCCAAGAGAGCTGTTTCCACTGCCAATATAGAAAACAAAATGTGAACAAAGACAGTCGAAGTCTAAACGCTCATGGATGGGCATCACCGATTGGCTGAGGGCATGGCTCAGCCCCACATGCATATAATCTTAATCTAAAATTGAACGTTAGTCGAAACCATGGGGTCCTACGGGAGGCGAAACGTTCACTGAAAAACCATTAACCGATGTCACTGTTAACCGAGGTACATAAATCCCTGCAGATTCGTCAACACCAAACACGTGCTTTGGCGACTCCCTGCAGGGGTGTGTCAACTGTGCGAACGCCAGAACCAAACTTACAAATCCCTCGCGAGTAGCCGTCGGCCGGTGAGCAAAGCGACCAACAACATATCCAGGCCACGTTCACATCCCGTTGCCTAACACCGAAGCTCGGCAATAGAACGTGTACGAGGCGACGTCCACCGGGGAGTTGGAGCGATGAGATCGGTCCGTGTCCGGGTTTCTAGCGGGATCGTTGCATTGCAGGATCACAAGTGTGGCGGCCGCGGTTGCTGTCGGCTTGGGGAGGCCTTCATCCAGCAGTGGATTGATCATGGCCTGATGATGATGATGATGAATACTGAATATAGACATTTAAGAGGTGCCATGTATTGTAAGTGCAAGTTGAATAGTCTGCAGGCAAAATGTATCTGCCAGTGAATCTTAGAACGTGGGAACCCGTTGGCCGACTGTCACGCGCCCTGTTTGTGCAAACGTTGATGCTGCGGATTTGCAAGTGCAATGACGTGTCCCGGAAACGTGACAAGGCCGGTGAATAAACAATCTCTTATTTTAACCATACGTGGGGCAATTACGGTTTACGGCACGCAGTGTTCGACGTTTGTTTTTGTGAAAGCAATTCGTGGAATTAAAAAAACGCACCGGATTGCACGAATCCCAAGGTTACAAACGTGAAACGTCACAATGTGGGTCAATCGAGGACAGGTGCCTGTGTTCGTGTGCGCCAGCAAATCTAGCAACGGCCTGGTAGACAACAACGATTCATTTGGACCGAGTGAGTTGGCGCGAGACTAAACAAAAGCCTCTCGCTTAATTGCCAGACACTAAACGTATGTTTGTGTTGGAGAGAGCTGGGAAATGCCCAGAAAAAAATGTTAAGAACCGTTTGACCGATGCAGGATTCTGTTTGTCTGCCGGGAAACATCTGCAAGTCGTCACAGGTCAAATTCACTGCTAGCTAATGAAACACCGATTGGTACAGTGTTGTATGGGGCGCCGCAGTGACGAGATGTGAACTCCCTCGCCTGGTATGCAGTAGGTCGTGGGTTTGATCCCAACCCTGACGCCTGCTGCTGTATACTTGGAGTGTTGCATGTCTCTCTCTCTCTCTCCGCTTCCCACCTCTATTTGCTAAACAACGTGTACACTGCAGTTAGTTGATTGTGCGGTGGGGGTTAAAGCGTATGTATGCCCAACTCTTCCAAAGCGTGGAAGAATAGGCCAAAACACCATCTGGAGGCGCTCTCTAGAGCTCCCTCTTGTGGAAGCCCTGTCGTCGGCGTTTGCATGAGCAGGCAATTGCAGAACTGCCCCTTTACCTTCGACTGTACACGTGAGGAGGTTTTGACAGCATTCTGGGTATTTCCCATAAAAGTGTGCAACCTAAACCCCTCACCATTAACTTAGCGTGAATTACCGAACAGCCGGAGTCACCGAGGGACGTCTTCAAAAAACTAATTTTGAACATGTCACTAATCACAAGCCAGATCATACTCGAGCAGTTCTCATCTATACTGACCATTCTGGGCCAATGGTGGAAATGTCACACTCTCAGTGCAGCCTCAGGCTCCTGAGCACAATGGGATAAAGGGGACAAAATCATCCATTGTCATTATGTGAAATGACGACCTCGATAATAATGAACCCAGTTTTATAAAGCGCCTTGTAAATTGGTATTCTCAAAGTGCTGTACATCAGAGGTAAAACAACAAACTCTTATTAAAAATAGAACACTGACACACCAGTAAAAACCCAATCACAATACAACAAAACAAAAAAAAACAAGCTACTGCTGAAAATACGTCACAATCTCCATAAAGCCCATTCAATCAGAGACACGAGCCATTGAATACAAAAAAGTTTTTCGGTTTGATTAAAAAGAACCAACGGAATTTAGAGTTCCAAATATTGAAGGGAATAGCGCTCCACAGACTTACTGCGAAACAACAAAAGGCACGGTTCCCCTAGTGTACTACGCCTCAAGCAATCCGCAATTAAGGAGAGCGAACATTTGCAGGCGAGCACAGCTGTTCCACCTACGTAGCGCGAGACGAATCAATGAGCGCCAAGGCGCGAGAGCCAAAGCGGTCGCAGCCACGCACGCCACACAGACGGACGACGCATTTCGGGGGCGGGCGGCGTCTCACGAACACGGGGGTTTTTGACCCACGTCTGCCAAAAAACAATCTCCAATCTGGCAACGTTTCTTCCTCCACAGCAGACGCCCGCCTCTGCCGGAACACCGCGCCGTCTGTGCGTTGGCGCCGCGCCGCCCTCGCGTGGAGAGGGCAACCCTCCTCGATTACACCGCTGGCTCCCCCGAGGGTGTGGTGGCGGGGCGGGCGCTGCCCAGATTACGAGCAGCCTTCACTAAACGGGTTCCCTTTGACTCCGCGATCGGCGGATCGGCTAACCGCGGGCGCTCGACAAACGCGAGGGCTGTGCCCACGGGCGGGTGTGGTGGAAAATAAGATTGGCCGGCAACCCGCGAAAACACCGCACGCCACTTCCATCGCCAACGCCCCCGCCAACGCCGCGCAGCAACCGTCACTGCCGTACGCTTTACCGCGCGGCGAGCGGCTGCATGGATTTCACGGTGGACGTGTTGCGGGATTCCCACCGTCAAATTAAAATCACCAGTACGTTCGGTATATCTGCATCATTCTTTACAACGCAAGGCCTTGTGTTTCACAGAGGAGCATCGTTTGTTTGGCAGTCGTGGCCAATGTTGCAACGTGGTTTTAACCAATGAAACACATTTTATTTAACATATCTCTTTTTCAAATTTGGACATATTTGGAAAAAAATGTCAAAATTTGGCACGAGATCGATGGTTGTGTTCCCTCAACTGCCCGACCGCGAATGCAGGGAATGATTAAAGCGTGCCGTCTGCTCTCTTCGCAGCAGATGCCCACATATTCCATAGCAACTTTGTCGTAGGCAACGAGAGTCGCTTTCTGTAGACGTCTATCATGGCCAAGAGCCACAAATTTTCCAATTATTTGCAACCAAAGCACAAAGAAACCAGTAAGCGAGTGCAGTTTTTCGATTCCCGCAGACCAGAGACCGTTTCTGCAGTCGAAATATTTAGGTCGCAAAAAGAAAACTCGAGTGACACGTCAGTAAATGCGTTCCCCTTCACTCCCAGGGACTGTCCCGCATCCAACCACCCCCCTGTCCAGCGAGTGTCAGAACTGGGACTTTTTTTTGTTATTGCACCAACTGCCACGCGGTTCCGCCGTGATGCAATCACACGCTACGCGCGCGCACAAAAGCCACCTCTCGAAATTAAAACGTTGCACTTTTCAAAATGCATCGCGGGACGCGCGCGTGCGCCCGTCCTTTCCGTCAGGCCGGGGTTCACAAAACTGGTGACCGACGGATGAGAGGAGGAGCGAGGAGACTATGAACATCCCCCCTGACAATTTTTGCACACGAAGAGAAAGGCAGCCTTTACAAACAAAGCACCCCTCGACGAAAGTACCGAAGGAAGCGCCAACGTACGGCTGTGATAAGATAGGTTTATCGCACAGACATCCACCAAAAAGTCGCCCCGCGGTGTTTCGCTCAAGACTGTCCACAAGTGCGAAGTGGCACCCCTGCTCTTTGTAGGGAGCTACGAGAACGGATGCCTCTACGTCTCGAACGGAGGGAATGGGGCACGCTATCGTACTTAATTTTCCATAACACATATTAACGACTGCAAACCCTTTGCCAATGCAGTGCTGGAACGAACGCTGCGCGATTCGCAACAACGCCGAGGTGTGTATACATTCAGATGTTGTCAGCCCATGACGAATGAGTGTTTATGCGTGTGGGAGAAAGCCAGAGCACCCGGAGAAAACTCGCGCGCGTGAGGGGAGACATACTTCACCGCTGTACAGATGGAGCAGATGGACATTAGGCCACACTTTGCTGTAATCGCCACTAAATGAAGCGGCTTATCACGTGGAAATTTTGTAGCAGCCAAATTATTTAAATGCGTGATGTTGATTTCTAAATGTGGACGGAAGAACCGGAGGTCCCAGGGAAAAATCCACGCGACCGCGTGGAGAGAGAGACATGCAAACTCCCAAAATACAGGTGTTGGGGTCGGGATTTAACCCACGACCTCCTGCATACCAGGCGAGGGAGATAACATCTCTTCATCATCGGCGCAACGTACTGCACTCGCCGGCCACCAGGTGCAAGAGCGCTGCGCGTGTCTTTGCTGGAGAGGGCAGCTGTGAGTACCTGTAGGAGAGACTTTGCCCGAGCCGCGTGGCGCGCTGCACTCCCAGGCTGGCAGGCTGCCCTCCTTCCGCAGGAACGGGCTCTTCAGTTTCCCTGCGCACGCACGCACACACAAAGATCACCCGTATAGCCACACAGAATGTTTGGGCAAGTGCCGAGCGGGGCAAGTGCTGTGTGCACCTCCGATTAGCACGGTTGGCTACGTACAGTGCGAAATAAGTTAAACATACATACGTACATAGCAAGCACTTGTGAAGGCCTGCAAAGCAAACGCTGGGGCTGTGTGATAATAAACACGCCCGGCTACCGTTGTTCGACATAAGGGAGGCACAGGACCGGTACAGATATCCGTTACTGATGGTTGGCTTTGAGAGGGAATAGAATTCAGGTAGCTAGGTTCGTAGCATAGTGCACTAACCACTACACGCACACAAACACAACATACAGACAGATCCCCATACATGCCCGGTATTGACTCGTTTGAGTGTGATGATCTAAAACAAGTCTGTGTGCATTGCACGCTGAGTTTGATGATGCCACGAGACATTCACGGCACGATAAGAGAGCCAGGTGCAATTGTCACAATCATGTCTTTCGCCGTCTGTAAAATTAACTTCTAATTAATTATTGCTCTTATTTTATTTTCAGTTTGCACTTCCCTATCTGTCAGAGGAGTTTCTCGCCATTCACATGCATTGTTGGAATTGGTTTTGTAAAGATCCCCCTGTTTAGCCTTCTCGACTTTTGTATGTACGTATGTTGAACTTCTTTCGCACCGTATGTAGCCAACCGTGCTGTTAGCGAACACCTATTAAGGGGGTGGTTTTAACCAGGATCATACCGGGGCCGCCTTTGTCTCTCAAGTCGTGATGCGTACACGCAATACCAGATACCAACTGAAAGCCGAGTCAACCTATTGAAGGTCAGACAGGGTTACAATCCTGTCTGTTGAATTTGCTACTGGCCATTAAACTTAGGCCATCTGGTTGGTAGCACAGTGTGAGCACAACAATTCCACACACACAGACACAAATGCCTCGCTCAGGCGCACAAACATCCACCAATGTCACTCCAGCCCTCCCTAAAGATACACACAATCATGCAAACGATTGAACAGCATTTTCAGGCAGTATATAGATTACACTTACCCAGGGCGCATCACAACAAATAAGTAATAAACTTCAAACACCATGGAGCAAGCACTCTACCGGACTACATGCTATCAGAATAAGGAAGACAAATTTCCCTGCTTAATATGAAGAGAAAATATAAATTTCGATTTAAAGCTTTCGTGACTGCAAGGATTCATCCTTGCAGTCACGACTTTAACATAGCCATTTCTGTGACCAGTCACAAGCTAATCACTCAGCTATTTCAATGCTAAATTATCCTGTTTGATTTGTACTAGGTGCCTCTGTGGATGTGTAAGCTTTGACTTTAACAGCTATTTCTATTCTTAGCTCTTTCGGTAAAGTCACGTTGAAGGGAAACAATAAAATAATAAAATATATAAAACAATAAAAATTATCACGATGTTTCGACCATAATATAAACGGTCGTCATCACACAACGTGACTTTACCGAAAGAGCTAAGAATATGAATTACTGCAGTCACGAAAGCTTTAAATCAAAAGCTATTTCACAAGCTAATCACTCAGCTATTTCAATGCTAAATTCTCCTGTTTGATATGTAAACCCCTTTGTCAAGGTGCCTCACTTCTCTAAACCAGCTTAAAAGACGCTACGAATTTTAACAACGTTCATTGAAGCTCTGTCGTCCCGACAGGTCTGTTCCTTTCACCTGAAGAAGGCCACTTGTGTTGTGGCCGAAACGTCGTGAGAATTCTATTGTGTTATTTTATTTTATTATTTTATTATTTTATTCTCATTCTACGTGACTTTACCGAAAGAACCAAAGAAGAAAAATATAAATTTTTACGATAACGAAGTCTCACGTTTTCTGAAACGTGAACGCAAATCTCCGGTAATCCTCGCAGCAGCAGCAGCAGCGGCGGCGGCTTTTGGCTGCTGGCCATCGAACGAAGACGCTCACCGCATCGCACGCCTTCAGATGCGCTTCTGCGGCCGAAAATTAAATTCTTTAGAACTGCTTTTTGTGTCGAGTTTGTTGTCCTTCCCCTGCACATCCGATTAGCACGTTTGGCTACGTGCGGTGTGAAAGAAGTTCAACACACATACGTACACAGGCCAAACCCATCACACCTTCCTCCTTCCACTGCATACACCACCCACAGCGCGACATACATACAGCCGACACACGTACAGACCCAAGGCATTCAGGGCACCAGCGTATGAGCCCGCTTCGCCCGCCGTTCCTTTGCGTTCGGTAAAGAGGCGCTGAAACATTCGTGGGTGCTCTCTGCCACCTGGAGCAGCTCAGATTTCCCCCGCGTGGGTGAGGGGGCCCCGGCACTGACCGGGGGAGTAGGGGGTCGGCGTGGTGTGGTCGTACGACATCGCACGCTCCTTCTGCTTGAAGATCTCGCGCGGGTTCAGCGACCTCTGCTGGATGACCGTGGCTGCTTCCTAACGGAGAGCGGTGCAGGAAAACGAAAACAATGGAAGTAAATCGACCGTTAGCCACACAAGCTTGCCCTCCTGGAGGCCGGTGTCTCTCACATTCTCCCAGTGCAAACGTCGCCCACGCGGGTGCAATTAAACACTTCATCACCCATCGGCATTTCTGCGGACAAATTTCAGCTGCGCGATAAGACACCTTTCGTTGTATCACACATCCTGCAACATTCACTCCGTCAAGCTTGCGCTAACCACAGCTGGAGGTAGCTATAGAGAGAGCCTTTCTAGAGGGTATTTGGCCTACTCGTCCACGCTGGCCAGACATCGTGGAAAAAAATCGGGAGAACCCACACTTTACTCCACCACACTTGACCTGCTGATCGAGTGTTGCGTGCCCATGTGCACTGCTGGGTGAACGGAGGCGGGGGGGGGGATTTAAGAATCTTGGGCATCGCTTCAACCGCCACTCGGGGAGATCCGCGCAGCGACCTCTGGAGTTCACGCAAAGTGCGCGAACCATCAGCACACCGCGCTTGCATTCTGTTCAAATGGAATCCAGAGGGTCTCTGTGCTCACAGAAGCCCAGTTAGACAATCATGTCCAATTGACTGTCCTGACCCTGTGGGTGCAAATTCCACATTTCTACTGTGGGCCGTGTCTCTTCATTACAGTGCCCACGATTGACTCCCCATTAAAGTGATGTTCATTTTCAGGATCGCAACCTTTATTCAGACCGGAGGAATCACTCCATTTTTAGTGACTCCAGAGAGACGGCGGTAGGCTGAGCTTGCCCCTGACCGAGATATGAACTCACAATCCGTGCCCCGACTTCACCCGGAGTGCTCTGTACCTTGGTGCTACCTGGCCAGGTGAGTAACACGTGTGACCGATATCCTTCACTTCACGTTCTGAATTTTAACATCTCAATTGCATTATATGCCGAAGGTATCATACGGGCATAAGGCCCGTGGGATTAGTGTCGCAAAGCGGCATTGTAAGTATAATCCAATGGTAGTCTTTGGTTTTATTCGGTAAAGTCACGTAGGTAAAATAAAATAAAACAATTAAATCACGACGTTTCGGAGGCAACACAAGCTTCCGTCTTCACGTGGAACAGTCACAGCAGAAAATCTGTGTTAAGACTATTCCACCTGAAGACGGAAGCTTGTGTTGCCTCCGAAACGTCGTGATTTGTTTTCTTTTATTTTACCTACGTGACAATCCAATGGCTTTACACAACCGGGATGGAAGGCCATAACCCTACGTGGCAGCAATGTAGTAACAATCACTGATATGTCGCACACCGGGCTTTGCTCTTTGTTAGGAATCATCAGCACAACCTTGTGTGCTTCTTACTGCCAGTCTTCTCCTTTCGTACGGCTGACGTAGGTGCAGGGCACCAACTGACAATGTCACGTGCAGGTGTGTCGCGCCAGCATATAACGGCGTCAGGGGCAGCTGGAGTGCATCGCTGGGATGTCTCCTTCGTATTTGTGGATCGGGGCATTGTGTCGTTATACGTTGTTACGGTCCGTTCTGGGGTAGTGAGAGGGGTTGGGGTAGAGATTGGGGTAAGTCTCTCTCAATGTCACATCCAGCTGGTCAAGCCAGCAGGTAACCGCGTCAGGAGCAGCGGGCTTGTATCGCTGTAGAACCCTGCCAGTGTGCGCTAGGCACTTTACTCCGGGGCATGTGATCTTCGGACTTTCAAGTCCAAAGTCAGCTGGGTAAACGTCCTTCCTGGCTCAATTTGAAAATACAAACGGGCGCAACCACCACTCACGGCTGCTTTCTCCACCGATTCGCTCTTCTTGTAGCCGCGGCGCATCCGCTGCTGATAATCGTTCTCTTCTTGCTCCTGCCAGGGAGACACAACAAAGACAAAGATCCCCCGTGAAGCCTAAACAGACTGGTGGGGCACAAGCTCTGTTATAGCGAGCAGCACCTATGAAGGCCGGCACGGCACACGAGAGGGGGTGGGTGGCCAGGACTACGCCCGGCTGCCTTTGTCTCCCTATTGGCGATGTTTACACACCGCACGAGGTACTCGTTTGAGGCCGGGTCGACCTAGACGGGGTCGAGGACTGGTTTAATCATCACTGTTGTTGGTCGTGAGTGGGGAATCAAACTCGGGTCACGTGGTTAGTAGCGCTGAGCGCCAAACCTCTAAGCTCCTGCTTCGCAGAGACACAAACAAATACAGGAGATTGACACTAACCACAACCTGGCCAATGAGTCTAAACCCCTGGATATGGGACATGCGCATGGCTAAACCAGACAGAAAGTAATCATCTAAAACTCCGCTTGTCAAAAAATTGGATTTTTCAATTCTACACGGCGATTGCAATTTTGTGGCAGCTAATTGAATGCTACGACACTGAACCAGTCTGGGAATTAGGTCACTGCATGCTACTCTCACAGCCTGGAACCAGGAACATGGCATTTAGCTGTAAATGTTCACGGGGAAAAGTACATTTTGGCCAGGTTTCTCGTTTAAAGGAGATGCAATCTATTTCATGGATTTTCGCATTTGTTAACGGATGGGAAGAAATGAAACTGTGAACACTAAACCAAACGCAAAGGGCACCGAATGGAACTGACAACACTTGTTCGCGTGGAGACTCTTTTAACGGTAAGGGTCGGAAATTCCAAATCATTTTTTTCTCCTTGTACGGTGAGGCGATGAAAACAAAACCCCCGCGCTGGCTTTTATCGACTCAGCGGGTCGGCCTTGGCTTTGTTTCATACGGAGGCAAAAAAAAAACAACACAACAAAAGTGCCGCCAAACAACAACAATCAAGTCTCGCGCAGGGCAAGTTCACATTAGATGTTCAATAACGCCCGGTTCCCCCGCGGTTGAAATTACTCGTCCAAACGCACATTACGTTATCACCGAGAGAGCGAGCGAGCGAGCGCGCGCGCATGAAACAGAGCGGCGCACTCCAGGGGAATGTTAACGACCGCAAGTTCAGCGTGCGTAGTCGGGCAAGGCGGCGCCCTTACGCTGAGGACTGTGGGGCGAGTGTCGTCGTACGGAACTCCCTCGTATTGAATCTTGCTTCAAGGGCATCCAACGTTGGTATCGCTCGAGTCACCGCACACTCATTTGCAGGGCAGCGCTAATCCACGGGGTTGCTTGTAAGAGAGGCAGCAGAGCAAGTTGGCCCGACAACCTGTCACATGTGTACAGAGGGCTGGATTCATTGCCCCGTCACTTCAAGAGCAATACGTGCAACAAGACTCACCCATTTCTGTTTTTCTTTACTTCTGTCCTCTGAATCGGCCTTTTCTTGATATTTTCTGCCGACCACAAGCGCAACGTTATTACTACGCATACACCGCAAGTGTGGCAGTCCCCCTCTTACACACCGTGCCTTTGTTGCACACCGTGTACGCAAGTGGACACGTGCATGAGCCCTACGTTTTGGGAATGCACGTTTACGTCAAATGCCGCAAGAGCCAGCCGTTATTTACCAACGTGGACCTTGAAGTGCACGCCACGTCATTTCACTTATGCCGTGGACGGTGGCACTCGTTTAACCCGTACCGACCGGACCTGCATCTCTCCAAGGTCTAACTTTTGAAGGAAATTGTGTTTACAGTATCTAGAAAGAGGTGTTATGTAAGCAAAAAAAATACTAAACCATGTGACAACTGTTTTCCTAAAGACATGAAAGTGAATAGTGTAAAACTGGATGCGGTTAGTGATAAATATTGAAGCCGTAGTTTAAAATAAATACGAGTAGTTTACAGGCCTTTTGCAATCCACTGCTGTATTAAGGCCTCTCCATGCCGCATGGCCATGGCGGTTATACTATAATACCTCACTCAACTGGTGTCGGTTGGTGAACCGTGGGGTGCTTTGGAAAGCTGATCATTTGTATCATGAAAAGCAACGGAGCAGTGCGGCTACAGAGAAAACACGGTTTCCCTTCAGTGCACATTCCCGGCTATGACATATGGATCAGTTTGCAAGGACATTCACAAACAAAATGTACAAATGTGACCAAATATGTCAATGCGGAAATAAACCACCAAGATTAAAGTTGTAAGGAAAATGAACGCTGCTGAGAGACTAAGACCATTCACTAAAGGAGTTAAACCTGCACCAAATTCACAGTGGCTGTGTGGGACCTTAACCATTTCACATTCCGATGCCGTACGTGTATGTACTTGTACGTCATCAGTTTTCCTTCCCATTCCGTTCTAATGACGTGCGTGTATGTGTACATCATTGGAAGAAAAAAAACTGTGTTTTTATCGGTAAGTCTTCAGATCGGAAGATGTACCGAGGCTCCCACGAAGCCATGCGGGAAGGGCGAGTGGCATAGTTTGGTGCCAGCTATCGTAGAGCGCGGTTCGTGTGGCTACGGTTCTCTGCGATGAGCGGTGCACGGGACCCACCATGCAAATGGCAGACGTCTTGGAACGGGAAAGGGTGAACAACGACAAGGATTGCTGCTGAAATAACCTAAAGCACTGTTAATGTCGCGAGCACTTAAAAGATTGCGGTTATCGCTTCGCTACAACTGGCTGTAGCGTGGAACGATTTTTTAAAAGTTATTCACAGACATGTCATGTGGACAAAAGAATTCCTGTTTTTAAATGACTTTGTGCAACAGGAAGTGGTGACTCTCATCCAGCAGATGGCAGCACAGGGTAAAGAGAGCGTCTTCACTACATTCCCTTTACTGTCGTTTGTCGTCAATGCAAAAAATAACACAACAATCATACACATGAGGCCCCCCCCACTCCCCCGCTAAAAATGTATAAAGCCAGGAGAATGACACTCGAAAACGAGTTTCCAGCCAATGCATTGTCTAATATTGATTTACGTTTGCAATATGTTCGATTCCACACGTGACAGTGTTTTTGTTCCGATTTCGATTTCCTACATTGCTGTACTTTATTTTATTTGTTTCGCTTTTGTAATTTAGAGGGCATAAATTATCTTGCAAATGAGACTACGCCGGTTCTCTTGAGTTTTCACCCCGTTAAAAAAAAATAAACTTGAAACGTGGCCACCCATTAAAGAGCCCCAAGTACAAAGTGCATACCACGCATGCACATATCGTTTAACATCTACAGCATGGTATTAATCAGCAAGGTGGAGCGGCGGTGCGATGGTCAGCGCACTGCACTATGAACCACAGGAACCGGAGTTCAATGCCTGCCCACTGCCACCGAGTACAATCATAAACCGTGGGCCCCGTTTGGTGGCATAGGTCTGCGATTCGGCACGGAGGAGGTAGAGTTGGTGGATCCCATTGGAAAGCCAACAGTGAAGTACCATTGGAGGTAGCACAGAAAGTGGGCTTGCTGCTCTGTATAAATAAGCGAGTGTTATCCCTTTGTATGCATGGAACCTCTGGTTTCTTGGCACACTCTAAAATAGTAAAAAAAGGCAAAGTACCACACCGACGGAACTTTTCCAGCAGGGCCCTCTGGGTAAAAGGTACAGCCAGACTATTGATACAATAATATTTCACATCTTTAAAATACCATTACTTAGGTGTTTGGTATTTGACTTTAATTAAACATAAAGTGAACACATGCAGTAAGTGCTTGTGTAAGTTCGAAAGATGTATTAAAGTGTCAGAATTTTTTATTTTAAGTTGAGTGTTTTAATACCCTTCTAATGCTATTTAGATTACCGTTTCAGCAGTCGTTAGCCACTTTATTTCAAAATAACACGAAGGTGTTCCAAGGAATATGGTCATACGGAACGCGACCATCCACATCGATACCTGGTTATGAAATCCAAACCCACTTCAAAACTCGTTTCGTAACGTGGTACTGAAAAGCTTCGATGATCATTGCACACTATTATAGCATTGAATAAATATATATTTTAAATATTTCAATTAAATGTATCATCATCCTTTCGTAGACTGGGTGTGGTCGTGCATGCCTGCATTTCAGCACCTACGATAAGCATGGTTGGCTTTATACGAAATAAGTTAAAACGTTATTTAGATTATTTTGCGGCTATAAATGTCCACAAAATCCATTTTGTTGAGCAATGATTTCTGGTCAAGTCGCTTCTGACAAATAAGTTAATGCCTCAGTGGGCTTTACCTGGTTATATATATAAAAAAAAATTCTTTAGTTTTATTTGTAAATGTTTTCAAGTGATTTGTTTACCTTTGTGATACTTTGCACTCCTATCGTGTTTTTGCACTTTGTTGTTGAACGTTCTGACTCTCCCCTACTGGACATCTGTGAAAAAGAGCTTTATAGCTCATCGGATTCTTCCAGAAATAAATACATATTCCGCTTCTGAACATATATACAATACACTTTCGAAGGCACGACTTGGTGTAAAACGGGGATTTAAATGCGCCGTAAAAGTTGGAACTTGCTGTACGGTAAAGTGGCCGGGAGATGGCAGTTGTGTCGAAGGGTTTCATGACCCATCTCAAGAATGTTCTGGGCGGTCGGTGCTGGTGCAGCGACTGGCGGGCGCATTTGACCCCCGATCGCTTCAGTCCGCGAGTTAAGACTCCTGGGGTCGGGGTGTGTCCCAGCTCATCGTTTTCCCTGAAGTTAACAAAAAATGAGTTCCACGCTGCCAACGATGACGACGGTGCACAAGTCATGACGGGGGACGGCGGTGGGAGGGGGGGAGTTGGCGGCGTGCCGCTCGGGAACGCTTCCCGCTGGTCATTGTTTAGATTACAGACAGGGTACGGGAAAAAGAAGAATAGGTTTAACCCTTTCTGTAAATAAAACAGATGTGAAGATGTTCAAGAGACATCAGGTCTGAATTAACCACACATACCTGTGGCAAAACATGCACACCATATCCAGACACTCATGCCTTGCAAAAAGTATCTCGTTGGTATTTGAACATCCTAACACCTGCTTTATTGCCAGAAAGGGTAAAAACCTATTCTTATTTTTCAGCATTTTTGAGATACTGGCAAAAAAGTTCCCGCAGGGTACGTGAAGCTCACCCCCCATATTCACCACACATTACAGGAGTTCGCGACTGAACTGTGTTTACAGTGTCTGAGTTCGCACCACGGAAGCACCAGCGCTCTCTTCGGAGAGTGGAGGCACCACGTCACCTTTGAAAGGCGGCATCGTTCACAGCGACGATCAGATCCCAAACCAAAGGCTCTCACTCTCGTCTTGGTTCATCGACCTGCGTCCGTGGAATAATAAATCGACATCGTTGTCCGGCGGCGGCGTGCCAAACTTTTTAAGAACATTAAATTCCAAATCAACTTCAGTTCAATCAACGACTGTATACGTACAATCACTCTGTAAATAATTTAACTCTTAATTGGTTACTTTCCCCAAGGGTTGTTTTTTTATGGCGTGAAGGTCATTAATATTTATATTCTAACCATTTAACAGCCCTGACGGAAGACAGATTTAAATGAAAATTACTTGTTTGTGGCCTTTAGGACCCAAACAATTGTAATTACATGGTTGTTAAGCTTTTTTTGCGTTAAACTGTTTTGTTTTTTAAGGCCTAAAACGGTTGCGATGACTTCCTCCAATCAGGTGGCGCTGTGGCAAAACACTTTCAACTCGCAGCCGGAAAGCTGCAACCTTGAATCATGAGCGTTACAAGAATAGTTTTCAATTCAAACGATTTGAGAAGGAAACTAACGGGCCCGTCAACCGACAATGCAAGCGGCGCAGCGTTGTAGAGGCGAATGTATTGCTGTAGTATGCATGGATCCTCGAGTTTGCTCTCCGCCTTGAAAAACCCGCACGGACGGGTAACGTGAAGTTTGGTTAGGCAATCTCCGCAACCCACACCATGGGGAGGGGGAGAGGAGGGCCTTGTCCGGTAGTGGATTGACAAATGGCTGCATGCAGCACTTTGCGTTAAACAGTGGAAATCTGGAGACGCTCTGAAAAAGCAAATAAGTAACACGATTACCCAGACCTGCATTTGAAAATCGTCAGAAATTACCTTACGGCAATGTCGAGATCTATCGTGGTGAGGTATCCGAGCCGGCCATCTAGAATCAAAACTCCCCACACATTTCCATCAGCTTGGAAACCCATAATGATACCAAGGATTGGTGAATATTTTGACGGCAACCCTTACGGATCCACTGTTCACAAGCGGACGCCAATGAACTGCAACGGAAATGTGGGGAAGTGTAAAGAGAATTTGTGTTTAGTCGCGGGAAGACAACGTCCATCGATAAGCTTGCATGACTGTAATTACCGTGGAGTTATATGGTAAGAGGTGTGTATAATTGCTGCTCGCACTTGTTCAACCACCGTAAGAAAAAAATTACCGCTAAATCACACAAAATGCAATGTCATCCATTTGTAAGCGCGGCTTTAAATACAAAAGCTGTGTGCTGCTGGATTCCTAGGACTCAAAACCACATTAAAATTACAAGTGGCTCTAGGTCTTGCGATTGATCTGTCCATAGTTCTATTATTATTATCATCATTAGCATACCAACTAATATAATCACAATCGCATTGTAGAAGGCTGGAAAAAGCCTTCGGCATGACAGCTGGCTGGCAAGTCAGGGGGTTTGTGGAAAATGCTCGCCAATGGAGGGCAATCCCAGCACAGGATTCGTCGAGGACTTTCAGAACCTTTCGGGGGAAAAAAAAAGCCTCTCGATGAAAGTCCCGCGACCCAACTTTGGGATCGAGTGCAAATCTAAGCGAAGAGGCACACACAGGGGGAAGGCAACCTGAGACCATGCCAGTGTCCACAATGAGCGCCCGGCCACCGATCCGGTTTCAAGCTTACCCCGCAAGCAAACGGCCGGCACTGAACCAAGCATTGAGATTACTTAAGATTATTTCGGTGCTATAAATGTCCAAATGATGGGCCACTTTGTTGAGCCATTATTTGTGGCTAGGTTGCTCCTGAAAAAATAAGTTCATACCTCAGTAGGCTTTGTCTGGTAGGATGGGGATGGTTCAGTTGTATGTGTTTGTGTTTGGGTGATTTGTTTACCTGTCTTGCACTCTTAGCGTGTGTGTATTGTTTGTTGTTGTACCGTTCTTATCCAGTATTAATACATATTCTGACCTGCATAGGAACATCACACGGCAGGTGTGGCCATCTCCTGAACGGATGGAGAGGTTGAGAATTGCCCACTGTGGGAATGCATTCACCAGTCCTCAAACCGTACCCGAAGCTGTATAAGTACGCCATTGGCAGCTGCTGGTATAACACCTCCTATAATCACCCAGGAATGTCCTTAACGCTCGTGACGTCACTCCACATCGAACAGCCCCCCTTAATAATAATTGTAAAGTGACGTCCTCCAAATGGACACCCCCCTCCCCATTAATAATAATAATTAGCTGGTGACGTCACCCCACATGGGGGGGGAGGGGGGGCGAGGCGCCTCCTCCCCCTTCCTCAGCGTCAACTTACAACCCTCACTACAAAGGCAGAACCCTCATCACGTCACGTGATCTCCGTAACGCTATTGAGGCATCAAAGTAAAAAGGACGTCGTGATGAACAAGGGATTATAACCTTCAAATGAAATAGGTCTGTGTCACCGCGCCCTTACAAATTGCACACGAATTGATGTAATTAATATCACGTCACGGTCTGCTTTCCGCTTGAAAGTTTCAGATTTACTGCAATACACCCGTACTTGGACGGGAAAAAGGCGAGTTTCACATAAATCACGATGGAACTATTATATGGAGGGGGGGCACCCCGTTACACTGATATACCACCAAGGGGAGAATGAGCTGGGGTGTGGGGGGGGGGGCAAAGGGACGTGTGGGGGCACAGCATCCACCCCAGCCCACCCCTAGCGCCAGCACCGACAACTCCTGAAGCCTTCCGCTGATTCGCCAACCTTGACACAAGCACGTGACCGGTGATGGAAAATCTCCGTACCATCTGGAAGGAATGAGAAACGCCGGGGCGTACAAGTCTCTCTCCCTCAGGTGAGGGCTTCGACTGACACTTGGGAATATGTTTGTTTAAATTCACCTGGTTGAGGGGGTTCAAACTCAGCTCAACAATTCCTGTGAGGTCACGTAAACGGGGTGCAACTTTGAGAGGTAACCCCGCCACGCCACAGGAATGTGGAACTTCCACAGGAGGAGCACCGAGACACTTTGACTTTACATGAGACGCATCAGAAATAATTTTAAATTCGTTCTTCTGGAGACAAAAAAAAAACCAGCCTGCTGTTTAAAAGGCGTACTGCAATTGAAGTGAGAAGCACAACTGCCTCCCTGCTGAGAGGAGCATTCTGCACGGCTCATCTCTCTCTGCTGGCAACCCCTAAGCCAATGGTCGACATTTCTGCATTCATTAAATAGGTGAAGGCATCGTCTATTTACAGGGCAAACCCACAGTGCGACAGAACCGTGGCACTTGCACTGGCAACGATGCACAAGCACAAGTAACAAAACCCGGCCACATCCGTCAATAACGGTGTCCTTGAGAAGAATCACAAATATGACGGGCGACGTTTCAGGAAATAGTCCATCCACTCTCCTCCTCCTCCTCAATCTCTACCATATAAGGGCCACTGCCTGAAACGTCACCTATTGTGTATATCCTATTGTGTATATCATATTGTGTCAATCACCTATTGTGTCAATCACCTATTGTGTATATCATATTGTGTCAAACCTATTGTGTCAATCACCTATTGTGTATATCCTATTGTATCAATTACCTATTGTGTATACCCTATTGTGTAATCACACATTGTGTCAATCACATAGTGTCAATCACCTACTGTGTATATGCTATTGTGTATATTCTATTGTGTCAATCACCTATTGTGTATATCCTATTGTGTAAATCACCTATTGTGTATATCCTATTGTGTAAATCACCTATTGTGTCAATCACCTATTGTGTATATCCTATTGTATATATCCTATTGTGTATATCCTATTGTGTCAATCACATATTGTGTCAATCACCTATTGTGTATATTCTATTGTGTATATCCTATTGTGTCAATCACCTATTGTGTCAATCACCTATTGTGTATATCTTATTGTGTCAATCACCTATTGTGTATATCCTATTGTGTAAATCACCCATTGTGTCAATCACCTATTGTGTATATCACATTGTGTATATCCTATTGTGTCAATCACTTATTGTGTCAATCACTTATTGTGTCAATCACCTATTGTGTATATCCTATTGTGTAAATCACCCATTGTGTCAATCACCTATTGTGTATATCACATTGTGTATATCCTATTGTGTCAATCACTTATTGTGTCAATCACCTATTGTGTATATCCTATTGTGTAAATCACCCATTGTGTCAATCACCTATTGTGTATATCACATTGTGTATATCCTATTGTGTCAATCACTTATTGTGTATATCACCTATTGTGTATATCCTATTGTGTAAATCACCCATTGTGTCAATCACCTATTGTGTATATCACATTGTGTATATCCTATTGTGTCAATCACTTATTGTGTATATCACCTATTGTGTATATCCTATTGTGTAAATCACCCATTGTGTCAATCACCTATTGTGTATATCACATTGTGTATATCCTATTGTGTCAATCACTTATTGTGTATATCACCTATTGTGCATATCCTATTGTGTCAATCACCTATTGTGTATATCCTATCCATCCGGCACAGCTCTGAACAAGGGATGCACATTGCAAAGGGCTCCCCCTGCGTCTCCTGACCCCTCCCCTGTCCCCCTCCCTCCTCCTCCCCCCCTCCTTGCATCCTTTCCTGTGTAATGACAGTTCAATTTTAATGTGTAATTTAATTGAAGGACTGTGTGTTTGCCTTGGTGTGGTCTTGGACTGTTTTTGCTGTTGTTCTTCCGTCTTGCCAGAAGCTTAGGAATTGGTGCACTTACGCAATCTGAACTCACATACTTAATCTATTTTACATCTTTACTTTTTAGTCACTTTATTGCCTTTCCTGTTGTCCATGTACGGTGCGAAAGAAGTTCAACATACATACTTTTGCATTCCTATTGTGTTTTTGTACCCTTTCTAACTTTCTGACCCCGTGTCCCCAACTGGACATCTGTAAGAAAAAGAAAAAAAACAGCTTCATAGCTCCAGGATAAATTCTAAATTCTCCCTCCTCCTCCTCCTCCCACCCCCCCTCGTCTCACTTGAGCTCGTCGATCTCGCGCGCCTTCTCCAGGAAGCGCCGCTCCCGCTCGCCCGCCTCCTGACGCTCGCGCTCCTGCCGCTCCTCCTCCTCGCGCTTGCGCTGCTCTGCCGCCCGCAGGCGCTCCTCCTCCTTGCGCAGCTTCTCCTCGCGCTGCTCGCACAAGCCGTGGAACAAAAGACCGCGGTGGATCGCGATCAACTCCCAACGCGCGGCGGCGGCGGCGCCGGGCGCCCCGTTGCCGCCGCCGCGCGTCGTCGCGAGCCACCACGGCTAGGAGGGGGGTGTGGGCAGCGCTCGCCTCCGTTGGCGGTAGCATCGGACCGGTGATGAATATTCTACACTGTCTGCCTCACGGTGGACGTTTAAAAGATCCCGCGACGTTTGCAAGACAAGAGCAGGCGACGTGCGCCGCAGACACGCACCAGAATTCACTTAATGCGTAGAAATTATCTGACAAAAATCACTTGATTGGGTAAAACCACAGGGCAACATCGGCCACTGCCGGCAAACTATGGCAGTCTGTGAAACGTGGCACCTTTTTTGAAAGTCTTGGGCTAGAAAAATGGCGTGAAGACCAAATGTGCCAAGTTATCTTTCATCAAATTATTTGCCCAAAGCACAATGAACAAAAAAAAATTAACTCATATTCGTCAATGAAATACAAGTATAATTGTCAAAGTTTCTGGCAACGGCCCCCTTCTTCATAGCACAGAGAGAGGCCAGAGAGATGGAGTGGATATGGTTTGGAGACGGTGCTTATCACTGTGGGGCCTGATGAGAATGACGTTTTCTGATGACCAGTTTTTAAACAGGCACAGTAATATTTTGATTTAAAGCTTTCGTGACTGCAGTGATTCATATTCTTGGTTCTTTCGGTAAAGTCACGTTGAAGGGAAACAATAGTAATATATATTTTATTATTTTATTGTTTCCCTTCAACGTGACTTTACCGAAAGAACCCAGAATATGAGGCACAGTAATAGTTACCAAAGAGTAGTTATTTATCTTTATTATTATTTAAAAGATGGGGGAAAGTCTCTCCACGGGGCAGGCAACTGTTGACGTCCCATGCAACGGTACGCATTTTTATTGACCCTGTAGAGATGCCAAGATGGGGTTTTACTCGGAATACGAACTCGCAAGATTCCAGTAAACAAAACGCCCCTTCATCCAGGAAAGCCTCTTTTGTTTTTTTTTAGAAGTGTTCCCCTGCAGTGGGATCGTTTTTCCAAATCCTTTGCGGGGAAAAAAGTGTTGCCGTGTGGGAAAGAAGCCAGGTAAGGTGGCTGAGGGGGATAAAATCCACGTACGCAAGCTAATGACTCGAAAGGATTTGCACAGATGAGTTGCCATTCCACTATCTCTACTGTTGTCGCTTGGCCACCTTGCAGCTCAAGCGGGTTAGAGGGGTTACACAGCGCCCGATAAAATCTGCGCGATTCGCCATCCATTGACGGATGACAAGGGACAAACCATCGCGCGCTTCATCAACTGGGAAGCCAAGTTAACAATGGCCACTTGTTGTTTACCAGGAACGCCTCACCGAGTGAAGACTTACAGTGCCATGTGACGCCACCTGTTTTGGGAGTGTGTTAAGGATTTCATCAGCACATATTAATTTTGGCTTCGGGTGTTAAATAATGTATAATCTACTAACATTTCTCAGGAGGAGAAGAAGAGGAAGAAGATAAAAACCAGGCAGACTGGTTAAGCTTCAGCAAACATGTAAATGAACGTCGAAGTGAAAAAAATATATTTATATTTAAACCGCCAAAACTTTAACAAACGTGATATTTCTGTCACGGCGATGCTATGGGGCCGTGGCGGTGAACAGGCGAGCACACTCCGCTGTTGTCCAACCGCAGCGCCTGTCTGAAGCTGGCTTGGATTCCTCAGAATTAAAGCTTCCTCGGACTGACAACCTGAGCGCTGTGTACGATCATTGATGTTTCATTTCTCTAAAGCTTGAGCCTCGTGTTGTAATTCATGACACCATGAGTATCACAAATGGGCACGTATGCATTCATCATGCACAAAGACAAATTTCCCCTGTATAGCCTTAACAGACTTTCGTGGGCAAGTGCCTGAGCGAGAACCTATAAAGGCTGGCACAGCATACAAGGAGGGTGGCCAACACCATGCCCGGCCGCCTTTGTCTCCCCAGTGGCAATGTTTACACACCACACCAGGTGCTCACTTGAGGCTAAATCGACCTAGGGGAGGCCCAGAACTGGTTCAGATAATGTCACCGGTGTTGGCCGTGAGCGGGAATCGAACATGGGTCGCTGGGTTCGTAGTGCTGTGGGCTCACCACTAAGCCACCAACTCCCCTTATGTACGTCCGAGCAGGCGGTCGCGGCTTTTGGCTGAAAGTGAGGAAGGTGGGGAGCGTAGAGGCGCGTGTGTGTGCGTGTGTGTGTGCGTGTGTGTGCGTGTGTGTGCGTCTTTGAGGCGTTTGACAGTGGGGAGCGGTAGTGTAGCGGGAAGCGCGCTGCGCTACAAACCCGGCGACCAGAGTTCAATAACCGCTCGTGGCCAACACCGGTGACGATTATTTGAAAAGGTTCTGGGCTTCCCCTAGCTCGCCTCAGCCTCACACGAGTAGCTGGTGCGATGTGCAAACGTCACCACTGTGGAGACAAAAGCCGTGGTTCTGGCCACCCACCCCCTCGTGTACCGTTCCGACCTTCATAGGTGCTCGCTAACAGCACTTGCCCCAACAGTCTGCTAAGGCTACACGGTGGTGGGTGGGGGGGGGGGGAGTCTTTGTCTTTGTAACGAGGCGTCTGACCTACACAGCTGCCTCATCGCCCACCGGGCTCCATCAATGCGGACGATTTAACACGTCGTCGACTCAAAACGCCTCCCCCCCGCCCCCCCGTCGCTCACACGCTGCCCCCCCCCCCCGCTCCGTTATTTATTTGTGTTACCGCCGGGCTGCTCACGAGGCGCATGACCAAATTCTGGGCCAGGAGCAGTAAAATGTTCCACCGGTGGAACAACACCGCCAACAGCCTCCTCATCGGTGCCGCCGTGCTACTGACAAAGAGGTCGGCGTCTGTCCCAACGAATGGGCGATAAGGCGCGACACGTTTCTTCTGCCGAGACGAGGCTGTGAAGGAGGCTGCTTCTGTCTCTGGTGTAGGCCAATCGCTTTCAAAGACAATGCCCATATATTATCAGAGGTTGTTTGTTTGCATGTTCATCACAAGTACTGCGCGTGGTTAATGCAGGACTTGATTCCTTGCAAAGCTATCAATTCGGTATTTGAACATCTTAACACCTTTTTATTGCCGGAAAGGGTAAAAAGCTATTGTTATTTGTATACGTTCGATACTGGCAAAAAGGTACCATGATATAGTTGCTCAACCCGGAGCTATACATACTCTCTGATACGTGCATTGTCTTTGTACTGTTCGCCTATTGGCGTTCTCTGTCTGACAATGGTGAGGCTAGGCCAGAAAGAAGGCCGTCTCTGGTGTAGGCCAATCGCTTTCAAAGACAATGCTCATATATTAGCAGAGGTTGTTTGTTTGCATGTTCACCACAAGTGCGTCTGGTTAATGCAGGACTTGATTCCTTGTAAAAAAGAAATCTATTCGGTGTTTGAACATCTTAACACAACTCCTGCTTTAGTGCCAGAAAAGATAAACACCCAATTCTTATTTTTCACACGTTTCTTCTGTTGGCAGCTCCGAGCCACTGGTGGCAATTGCACATTCCCACGACGGTAGTCAGTCTCCATAGGCCAAACCACTTCTCGACGACCTTAAGAGCAGCAGCGACGATGGGTCGCGTCAACCAAAGGACTGCATGGGTTAGACAGCTGAACTGTTACGTATGTTTGTTTGCGTGCATGTACGTTGAACTTATTTTCGCACCGTACGTAGCCAACCCGTGCTAATCAGAGGTGAGAGGAAACGAGAACGAACTAGACACAAAAAGCAGTGCTGAAGAAATGAGTTTTCAATCGAGATTTTAAAAAATGTACAGCTCCAGTGGCTCCCTAATAAAATCGAAAATAAGTTATTAGCATTTTAGCAAGGGGCATCCGTAGATCCCAATCCGCCACCACGTGTGGAAAGCAGGAAATAAAAACCTGCAGGGTAAACGGCCATAACTAGCAGGGAGGGGGGGTAAAGGCCAATCTAAAGAGGTGAGTTTTAAAGACAGACAAACAACAGCTCTAACAACTCTGATTGTCTTGTTAGCAAAGGCAAAGCATTGTTCCACAATCTGGAAGCTGCAGAGTGGTCAAAGCCTGCTCACCACATCAGGAGCAGAACCTTGACCTCGGAGTCCTTAGGAGAAACTAAACTATAAACTACACTATTTTATTTTACCAGGTAAGGGCCCACTGAGCTATACTGCTCTTTTTTTCAGAAGTGACCTGGTTACAATTGATAGCTCAACGAAGTGGCCTACGTGTGGGAAATTTACAGCGGCCGAATCCTCTAAACACATGTTTCTCATGAATTTTCTCTCGAAATTTCCACGTAACAAGCCACTTCGTTCAAGAAAGATCCAGAGGTGATGGTGGCAGGCAAGCGTTGCAGATATGACCGAGCCAAGAGCGGGTCACGCTGGCTTGGGAAACGACGCAGGATGGGGGAAGGGCCGTTTGCCGAGACTGGCACAAGTCCGGAGACCGAGGGAAAGGCCTAAGGAGCAGCTGGCGGGAGGCAGTCAGGGCAGTTCTTACGCGTCCGACTGCGCGACAGCTGCGGGATCTGGGAGACGATAGAAAAGCACCGGGCGACGTGCGGTGGCATCGACGGCCGTGGTCCGGATGACGTCGTGGCCACGGAGGCGCTTTACACCGGGAAAGCACCACATGTCAACTTGTCTCCAGTTCTCGCGGTGTTTTCAGAAACCCTCAAGAAAAATTTGCAAATCTTTACAATATACAATTCCCCTTGGCTCTTTTTCTGGTTCACTGAAACCGAGCCGACGAAGCCAAACGGACGCTTGAAAATAAATGGCTCGATACTGTCATTGACACGGGCGTTGTGTTTTACGGCAGCGCTTCCGAGCGTACAGTGTGACGCAGACTTTCCAGTCGAAGCTGTCGAGTTGACATGAATCGGTGAAGTTTTTGCATTTAACGTTAATTGAATCTTTCACACCATGGAACTGTACACGTGGCGGCTCTCCAAGCGGATCGCTGCAGCGCACACGCGCACACACAATAAATACAAATCTAACGTATTTATTGCTTCAATGTGCAGTTAATAATTTTCCCAGTGAAGTTACACATTGGGGGGCGGCAGGGTGAAACCGATACGTTTCTTACTTGAGTTTTTAATTAAAAAGAGGGCACCGAGGTTTTGCTAGGAACCGGCAAGCTTTTTTTTTTTACAAACAGACTTCTCGTCTCAGTGGGGGATGTCACCTCTGGCGATGAAACGAATCTCTCTACCTACTGCGATTCGACTTCACGAGGATGTAACGAAGGAACGCCTCCCTTCGTCGCGTTTTGTGCTGCTCATCAGCGCAGCACATCATTGTCATCGTCGTCGTCGTCGTCATCAACGCGGACGGTGACATCGACGGGCCCTTATAAGGGAACACTCAAACAAACGTGGCTACTTAACTTCCCCCCACCCCCGCACGCCATACACGGAAGAAGCAGGAGTTCGTGGAACCGTTACGTACCTCTGCCCTCGCCCAGAAGCCATCGTTTTTCACCCGTTTGATCTCCACAGCCGCATTGGTCTTCTGATAAACAGAGCCCTGAAATTCGATACAACAGAAGCACATTGATAAATAGCAAAGTCATCAAACCATTGACTTCCATTCGTCAATCTGCATTGCCCCTCATGGTAAAACAACATTCCCGTTGCCTCCGCAGTGCTGGATTGAAAGCATGAAGTTACCGTACTGGGAAAACAACCACAAGAACACTTTGAACTTTGGCACGAGGCGACGCTGAAGGTTGTGCCTTTTCCAACATGGCTTTATTCATTCATTTATTCCTCTTACTTCCTGGAATGGTTTCACATACGAATGGCGTGGGTGCTATAGTGTAATGGATTTATCGCACTGGACTTGAAATCCAGAGGTCGATTTCACGTCGCGTTAGGACAAACAAACCCCCCCCCACCCACCACACCGCCTCTGTCCATCGGCAGTTCGCGTTTGGTGGGGTAAAGTTTGGGCATGTCCACCTCTTCCAAGACGTCTAGAATGGCTCTCTAGAGCTCCCTATAGTGGAGGTCCTTCTGCTAGCGGTCGCGTGAGTGAGCTATTGCAGGGCTGCACCTTTAACCTGTACGCATATAAATGCTAATTATCGCAAATAAGACGAGCAAAGCAATGAGAAATCAACCTCTTGGTCTCTTAATGCACGGTACACGTATTCGGACATCCGCCCAGGTCCTTGTTGAACACCGGTTGGGGACCACTGCAATGGATGGGGCACGTATGTATGTATGTTGAACTTATTTCGCACCCTATAGTGGAGGAAAGCAGGTTACCAGGACGACGGCCATACGAGTGGTACCCAGAGGTCGCTGACCAATAGGAAGAGCTTAAAGCAGACATTGTTGATTTTAGAGTAAAAGCGTATGTTGGCAGTCAGGTGTCAACTGTGCAACGGACAAGTGAATCTGGCAGAAGGAAGGAAGCGACGACAGCGTTGGGTCGTGAAGACTTGTTGACCTCGATCTTGAAATGTTAAAATGCCTTACCACGGGCTTCCGAGGCGCGTTGTCCACAAAGCAGGAGTTCTCCTGCTGGAGGCCGAAGGTCACGCCGGCCGCTTTGCCCACCTTCTCCATGATCACCTCGGGCTCCACGTCCTCCTCCGCACGAGCATTTATCGTCACGTGAGCCCCCTGTGTGGCCAGCACACACACACACACACGCGTGCGCGCAATCATAGGTGGTTCCTGCGCAGCAGCACACACGCACAATCACGTGGGGCTAACTGCACAGCAGCAGCACACACACAATCACGTGGGGCTCCCTGCACAGCAGCACACACACGCACAATCACGTGGGGCTCCCTGTACAGCAGCACACACACACAATCACGTGGGGCTCCTGCACAGCAGCACACACACACAATCACGTGGGGCTCCTGTACAGCAGCACACACGCACAATCACGTGGGGCTAACTGCACAGCAGCACACACACACAATCACGTGGGGCTAACTGCACAGCAGCAGCACACACACAATCACGTGGGGCTCCTGTACAGCAGCACACACGCACAATCACGTGGGGCTCCCTGCACAGCAGCACACACACACAATCACGTGGGGCTCCCCCCATCACGTGGGGCCTCTATAAGGCAAAAGACAATGTTCGCGACGTATCATGGGATAACTAAAAGTCAGGCGTGCACAATTGGAAAGCAGACTGTGTAAGATGTCGAACGAACCTCCGATTAGCATGGTTGGCTACGTACGGTGCAATAGGAGTTAAACAATCGTACACACATATACGAATGAGTACATGGGCTCCACCATGAATTACTATGATTTAAGGATAACCCCCACGCCCCCCTAAACCACAGTAACATACTGTGGAATTAATTTACTGTGCATAGTATACCTGAATTTAGGCCCACCGTTTGGAAGCAAGTACCAGTGTACTTATATCCAGTATCTACTGCAGTGACGTAACGATTCAGGAAATGGGCACGGTTGACAGCAGCACACACAGAATCATGGGACTTGCGCCTATTCAAGTACGCTGAACTTCTTTCGCACCATACGTAGCCAACCGTGCTCATCGTAGGTGCGGGAGAAGGACAACAAACTAAACACAAAAAAGCAGTTTGAAAGAAATTCGTTTTAAATCTTGATTTCAAAGGTGCATAGCTCCAGTGGCTTCCTAATATCGCAAGGAAGAACGTTCCAGCAGACCGCAGAAGCGCATCCGAAAGCATGCGCCGATGCGGTGAACGTTTTTGTTCGATGGCGAGCCAAAAGCCGCTGCTGCTGCTGCGAGGGTGACCAGAGTTCGGGCGATGGTTTTTTTTTGCTCCTTAGCTGTAGAATGCGAGTCCACGAGCCAGTGTTACCATGCTGAGTGAGGTAGGCCGCACTGGCTCGCTCACCAAAGGAGGCAGTACACATGAATGCCCCGGTTTAGATCGGCACGCGATTCCTGAAAGGTGCGATGGCGAATATTGAAACGACGTCAATCAAAGCGATTTGACAGGGTAAGGTGGTGGAGGCGAAGGCCGAGAGGTGGCGGATACAAGAAAGGAAGGACGATGATGTCAGCGACGTTAAGTGTGGGATGGTCGAGGCGACGGGAATTGGGTGTTAATAGAGCGTATTTGCAAAGCGACATAAATTCGGCGTGTTCCTGTATCCGTGGTGTTACTGTATTTGTATTCGTGTATCTGGCTAGACAAGCACTCCTGACTTGCACAACACGGTAGAGGAAGATTTTATTCTGTTTTGATGTAAACGTATGGGGCGGTTGATTCCAGTTGAAGGGTTCAGTTGGGTAAATACATTTAAGGCAGTGATGAAGGATGAAAGGGGGAAATGTTCGGGAGAAGATATAACTACTTTGGACATAATAATAGGGTTTTTCCCCTTTTTTCTGGCAAAAAAACCAAAACCTTTTTACAAGGATTCATGTCTGCTGTCAAAATGCAAACAAAAAAACACACTATGATAATATATGCATTGTCCTTGAAACTGATTGGTCCACACCAAGGGACGGCTTTCTTTTGAGCCTCGACCCAATTGGTGCTCGACCAGATGACGCCAAAAGGCGTACAGCTCAAAGACAATGCACTATCAAAGTAATGAGGGCTCGGGGTGAGCATTTACAAACGTGCATTGTTGCCAGAAAAAAAGGGGACAAACTCTATTATTAAATTTTGGTACTGGCAAAGGAGGTCTAATGATACTTTGGACATATTGCAGATTAGGGAGAGTTATTTGAAGGATATGCGGCGGATGTTATACTTTGGTGATAGAGTTATTTTTGTACACGTGTAATTAAATACCACTCAGAGCTGCAATACGTTTTTTATTGTTTGGAGTTACAAGAACCTGGGCCAAAATGCTAAAACTTGACAAATGGTTGTGAATTATAATGTTAATTATTTTCGGACAGTATTTAAACGGGAATTATATTGCGTTTCACATCCAAGCTACGGTGACAAAAGATTGATTATCTTGTCATTGACATGGAAAATAACTGCTAACCAATAGCATTTTAAAATGAAATTGATAAAAATACAAACCTCAACCGTACAAACGTGCATTTTTAGCGTTCACAAAAAAACAGCCCTGTGTGCAAATGCACTGTTAACTTGGAAATAACATAAATGAACAATTACGACCACGTTTAATAAAAAAAAAACTATCTCTGAACATTTTAAAGGGAATCACGCGAGTAAATGCAAAGAGCGAAACAGAGAGGGAACTTGCAATCATCCCATAGGTATGAATCATGCCCTGGGTCACGCACAAAGGCACACACGCAGTCGACACTCAATCAACCGTTGCCACATTTAATAACAGCTTTTTGAAATTACAAAAACATGATCGCTGTGCGTGCACGAAGCCATTCATCTAAGCGACATCAGCACACGGGGCGGTTGTTATCGCGACGTGGGCTTGGCAGCGCGTTCTCGTCGCACCGTTTGAGCGATTCTTTTCTCACGCCACTGCTCACCAAAGGCCCTCTCTACTCGAGGGAACAGAGGGGGTGTGTTTTGGCCTACTCATCCACACACAGGCCGGACGTCTTGGAAGAGGTGGGAGTGCTCACACTTTACCCGACCGGTGTACCAATGTGTGCTTCTCGGTGGACAGAGAAGCAGGGGGCGATTTAAGAAACTTTCCCATCGTTTTATCTGCCGTACCGGGACGACGACACTAACCGGCGACCTATGGAGTGCCAGCGTGTTAACCGTTGCACCATGGCAGCAGCCGTTTATTTTTTCTTGCCATTTCGAAATAGTTATGGTTTCAACCATCATCGGGATTCATCCACATATCATCTTACAAAGATGAACAGCTGCCGTCGACAAACAACCTTTCAATTTGCATCGACCCGCTGGTGAATTTTTAGTCAAGCCCTTGGGGATTTAGGCCGCCAGAAAACAAGGCCACTTTCTCTGGCACCATTGCCATGAAATGCTATTCTCGGAGACAGGATTTGTGGACAAAATTGGTGGCCAAATGTTTTGCTCAAAACAAGTTAGATTATATACTTACTTAATATCACCAGGATAGTTGTATTGCTCAGCCAATGATGTCTCGAAATCTAATTATAAATCCAGGTCTGGCTGGTTTGAAAAAAAAAGCAGCAGTTGTTGAGAAGGCAAAAAGAGCCTTGCACAAGCTTCACAAACATTCATTTAACTCAATTTGGCATGTTTTGGAATTATGATGTTTTTATTTTTCGATTTAAAGCTTTCGTGACGGCAAGGATTCATCTTCTTTGGTTCTTTCGGTAAAGTCACCACGTAGAATGAGAATAAAATAATAAATTGATAAAATAAAATAACACAATAATATTCTCACGACGTTTCGGCCACAACACAAAGCGGCCTTCATCAGGTGAAGGGACGAGACTGTCTGGTAGGACAGCGCTGGAGTGAAAAAAGCCACGTTCAGATCACGACCTTTAAGCTGTGTCAGAAGAAACAAAGCGCCTTGACAAAGGAATTAGCATATAATTCACTCCAGCGCTGTCCTACCAGACAGTCTCGTCCCTTCATCTGATGAAGGCCGCTTGTGTTGTGGCCGAAACGTCGTGAGAATATTACTGTGTTATTTTATTTTATCAATGTATTATTTTATTCTCATTCTACGTGGTGACTTTACCGAAAGAACCAAAGAAGATGATGTTTTTACTTTACTGTTACCGCATGAGCTGCATTTTTTTCAGATTAACCCCCTTTAAACGCTAATATGCATTGAGGCAATTTATTCCGTCATCCGTAGGAATATTTAATGCAAACCAAAAAAAATACGAATTTCTGATTCAGTTTTGGAATTATGCCAGAACCCGGAAATCGATGCCCTGCTCTAAAAGCTGGCGCACCGAATGCAAATTTCAAACTGCAGTAGCCACGTGTGCCTAACACTTAATGGACATGCTCTCACCGTTTTATTGTCAGTTGCCTGCTGCCTGCCCAAATTAAATTAAACTCAATGTCTCTTTTTTTTTTTAAAACCTGGGTAAGAACCAGAAGCGAGATAGATTCACTTTCTTTTCAAAGGAAGATCGAGAGCAAGCAGACAAACAGAAAAACGAATAGTTTTCCACGCGTAGATATCGCGTAACAATCAAGACGCTAGAGAAAATTATTGATGTGACGCTTTGCGTGGAAAAGCGCTCCCATCGCGACGGAGTTCCAATTTTAAGCTAGGGGTTGACTCAACCCATCATCAAAGTGCGGTAATTTAAATGATAACTATTTTGTGGGAAGCCAGACGTCTGTAAACAATCAACAAAATGCAGTGTTCGTGAACGAAAATGATTATGCGACATTTGCAGTCTGCCACTTCTGCATCTCTACCAATGCGGTCAATAATATTTTTTGAATAACCATGGCCACATGTGCTCAAGTGTCTCCGACCTAAAAAGTGCAGCGATAGTGCCAATAACGCAATTGGTGGCGGTGCCGCACAAGGGCTCAAGACGATGTACGCCAACAAAAAGGTACCAATGTTCTTCGCAGGCAGCACAATTAAATGAGTCCCAATCTAAATTGCCAGGCAGCTCATGGATATAAAAAAAAACGAAACCAAAAACTCCATCAAGCTCCCACCAAGTGGCTAAGTGGCGACCACACTGAAAGCAACGGTGCAATAAATGCCCAACCGCTCTCTTGGCCCGATATAATTTCA